CGAATACACTGTACAGGTACTTCGCCTACAAGTATCGAAGTGTCTAGTCAATTTAATATGTAGTTACTGTTTGACTCATTTTCTAGGATTAAAACTTAAAATTCTGCCAAGTGCATCATTCTGAGCACTAATTAAGGAAACAGTCGATGCATCAACTATGGTTTAATGAGTGAAGTAAGGCAAATGTCCACGATAAAGTGTTCCTATGCTGGTACCTACACGCATTTTCCTTAACACTAGCATAGAAATTGACTCTGAGAGCAACATCAATTGTTGTCAGTAGGTATTTGTATGAGTAATAAATGCTAATACAAAACGTATCTGTTCGTTTGTCTGTATCTATGTTTTGAGTTTTGACATAAAACTTTAAACTTATTTGGACCAAATAACATCATTTTCACAATTGGGCATTTTTCAAAATTAAATAGTAAGGTATACTTATATAACTTGACAACGTATGCACGATAAAAGTAAATTTATCTCACATTAAAAAAGATTAAACTCGATTGGCGACCAATCAATCTACAGTCGATACTGCTCAATAAGTGTAATATTTATAATCCACAGATCTGTGCAATAATCTGCTTTGATAATAGGTACATGATAATTACAATATTTACTCGTGCCTACGTCGAAATATAATCATATCTGCACAATGAATCTGCAGCACCCATATTCAGGGATTTTTTTTATAAACAATGTCTACCTTTATGTAATTACTTACTGCATTTTTCACGTATCTTATAAACCTGAATAATGCAGTGATAGCTGATATAAAAATTAGTTTTAGGGAAAATATGTGTCATTTATTATTTATTTTCATTATTATATTTACTTATATCTGTTTTTAAATTTGTTAAGTTTCGTAGGGAAAATGAATGTTCCTCCTTTTCCGATCAATAGGTGATTTAATTTTAGAGACTGATGAAAAAGCGTGGTCTCATGGGAGTAACAAATAAAAACACAAAGACGATTGGCATGTTGCCGGATGGCAATGCAATAAAATGCCATAAACATAAGTATCGTGAAGTGCAAAGTTTATATTTTATTTACTAGCCTTGGGAAGTACGTTAGGTACCTATTCACCATAATTGATGCTCATTTATTACTTCACTACTAGACAAACATAAGATAATAAGAAATACTTACGTTAGAGAACCCCGCTGCCACGACGATCATCCACCCCCAGCCACCATCAGGGGGGACAAAATCCCCCTCTTTCTTCAGCTTTGATTTTACTTGTTTACCTTTTGTCATTTTGAGCTTATCGCTATCAATTCGTGTGTATGAAGCCCACTACAGTCTTCGACTAAGTTACGGACTGAACTGATAACTTTTGAAACAGTAATCACTTTAATACGACAAATGAATCAAATGAGTCGGTATATACATATATGTGTTTCCTGGAACAAAGAGACTAGTTCACTATGCACACATATTAACTAGAATGACTAAAACCATTGAGTGTTTTGTGTTACTGATGTGTGTCCGATGCTGTTATCTAGATGCATACTATGTTAATCTGTGTTAGTAAACTGGCATTTACCTCGTGCATGACCCATGGTTACCGAGCTCAGATAGATACACTACATTTACATATTTATACATATATTCATAATTTATTGTCATGATGTATGTGTGTAGGTATTTATCTGCACTACTACAATTTGTATTATTTTCCATTGCGTCTTATTGGCAATGGCAACACGCATCACCCATGCAGAGATTAATACACATACCATGCTAACGTTACTAGAGAACAACCGACTTTAAGGTTTCCAAATCGATATTATTGGTCTCAACTAGTTTCAATGATTATATTTGTATTATAACTTTCGTGAGACATACTAAATAAATTATTATATTTTCGGCTTACGCTGCTACTGAGTAGCGGCGCGACAGTCGCTGCGTCGTGTGTCGCGGAATACTGCTCATGAATATGGGCCTCTAGCATGGCTTGAAACTAGTCGAGTTCCTCGTCAAATAATTGCGTGAGTAAGCCGAGTTGTTGTGTTTGTATGTGGATTTAAAACATCATTATATTTGCTGTCTATAAAATGTTATCAGCTTATCATTATCGAACAGTAAGTAATTGAGCAATGCCCTTATGTTACCTATCAGTCTTTGTAAACGTGATTACTTAAGTAGGTAGCCATCATTTTACATCAATCAAAAATGATTGGGGTCATCAGTCATACAATATTTTAAATGTATATCAAATTATTGTACCTAATTCAGGAGATAAGTGTGAGACGCTTCCGAGATAATGATATGTCTGAATATTGTAGTTTAAAAACAATTTGATAATATTAAGTGGAATACCTAAATAGGTAATTAAATATTGTCATTTTATGATCGCAATTAAAATAATAAACCCTTTTTAATAAGACAGTTCATGTCATTTCATGTACAATATTACTACCCAAGATATATATAACAACCAAGTTTAAAAAAAAAAACTTGAAGAAGCTTCTTACAAACATTCAACCCCTAGTTTAAAGGGATTGAGAGCTCTTTTCCCACATGGATAAAGATAGAGCATTACTTATCATCTCGCTTGCTCAAGGCAGATTGGCGATTTAAATATTAAAATTAGAAATTATAAGACTATAAGTTTACTAAAGACGTTTTAAAATGTATGTGCTTAAATAATGTTAAGAAGTACATATAAGTCGGGAAAAGAAGCAATGGCAATTGCCAGATTTCGAACTTACACAACCTCATGCTCGTGAGAAGCGGGCGCCTAGCACCTCCGGTTCGGATCATCACGGCATATTGTGTTTTTGAGTGATTTTTGCTCTGAATTACTTAATACTCATCAATTCAAGTTTTAATACAATATGATTTTGGACTAAATACATAATTAGTTTGGTGCAAGAGAAGTCACGGCTAACAATTAGGTTTCTAATATGAATATTTCACCGGAGTTTTGCAATGGTTACGATAAACATTAAACAATGGCTACTGAAATAAAGTAGTGAAATAAAGGCATTTTTATTGTTTCAGTATTTCATGATAGAGAAAATTTTCAGACTATTGTCATAGTGCATCATTGTGTGTTTTAATTGTGAATAGACATTAGATAAATATACGGTTCATTTAGTCCACTTAACAAATGACGTCGATGGATATACCAGAATATTTATCACTATGATTTTTACACGGTATGGTTACCTATATGCCTGAAATCCTAATAAGTTATTCATGAATAGTTAATGTGTACCGACGTAATTATCATAATCAATGTGGAGATAAGGTCACAAGTCTGAGATGAAAAAGTCATCAATAACCAAATTGAAAATAACTCCGAAAACTATTTAGTATTTAAATTACGAATAAAAATCTATTAAAATATTTTAAACTATTTAGAAGTAGGCTCAGTTAATTAATTGACGATATTATTAAGCCAATGAAAAGGTTAACAACTTACAACTGAATTTAATCTTTTTCAAATACTTATCGATAATAATAAAAAAAAATAATGGCATCATAAATTAAAACTCACCTTATAAAGTAGTTGTAAGTACTTAGTTATATATAAATTACGACAACCATACACTTTTGTTTTAAATTAATTTAATTTACACTTTTTGCATGCAGTTAAAAATATGCATCGAGTCGGTCAAAAATATTACATCTAACTGAACTATTGCAAATAGATTATAACTGAGCGAGGTGAGCGCGTGCTTAGGACACGCTCGACGTGCGTGCTTCTAATAAAATGAGCAAGGAATTATAAAGTTTACTTATCTGCCTTTGTATGTATTTAGGTGAGGATTTTACAGCGTTAACTGATGCTTACTTCAATAACTACAGATAAATAATTTTATACGCATCCAATAAAACGGTAAATAGTAAATCGACACTTAATTCCATTGATGTGAAGCATTTTGCACTTCATAACTAGATATGTAGGTACCTACCTATATGTATTAACCAATAAAACATATCACTTTGAATCCAAGTGCATGTAGTAAAATTGAAATGTTATTAATTTTGGATGTGTAGTTAATTCCTTACTTTATAAGTTAAAATTTTCTTAAAACTGCAAACATTACGAAATGAATATTATATTATAATGAAAAAAATATTATAATTACGAAAAAATTATAATATTTTTTTTGGATTGTTGAAATTGGCGGGTTTCATTTTGTTATGTTGGCAATGAATGACAGTAGCGCTAGAGCTACACGAGTCCGTCTGTGCGTAGACAATCAGTTTGTATCGATTGGACTTCAAGTTCCACAATGTCCATTCGATTAATAATTATACAAAATTGTATGTATTATTTGCTTTCTCCAATTACACAATTACTTTTAATGAAGCTTTCTTAAAATTTTCATCTTATAACCTGAAACAAAGAATTACTATTATTTTTATATTGCTAATCATTATTAAGGGCATCAAAATATCAAAAAATGCTTCTAATTCATTGAAAGTTCTCGTTTTTCTTAGATGATAATAGGCAATTGTGATATAAATGATACATAATAGATATACAATAGTGGTATCTATTACAATAGTATACGTAACAACTACTATTGTGAAAACTAGAAAGTATGATAGATTTTCAACTTTGTAGTAACTATTACGTAATATGAAAACAATACATTTTTATTATTTTAACCTTTCGAAATACTATCTATCATAAATGAAAGTTAATTTTGTTTGTTCATTTTTGTTTATTGTATTCTTAGTAGACTTGTGGGCAAATGGCGTAATAAAGCTTCGACAAAGTTTCGAAACGACTAAACATTATCATAACAGTTGATTTCTTTAAAAAAATAGACAAATTGTTTTAGGTCTACCACAACCTAAATAAAAATTTACCTACGATAATGAATTTTCTTTACTAATAAGAAAATACCAAAATGTCAATGGGTGCATCTCTAGCGCTACTGACTGAATGTCACCAGTCACATTTTGGAGGTTTGGTTTTATCTGTGGAACACTAACGCACATACACATACACACACACACACACCGAAGTGATGTATTCACACACATTGGCAGAAAGAAAAGTAAATTGTATGAATGTGAGTGATCGTTTCGTAGCTCGCCGCTCGGTGGAAAGACAGCAGACAGTTTATTGTTTTGTTTTAGAAAAAGTGTTTCGTTAGGTTAGACAGAAGTGTTGTTAACGTTTATTAGTTCTAAAATTAATTATAAGCAACGCGTGTTAAATTCAAACTTTACGTTCACATAAATATTTTGTCCAGAATTTATTATTTCTTTGTAGACCACGAGACAAGTGAAATTCTTTGTTTTTTTACATTTGAAGCTGATGTTAAAGCAATTATTTTAAAGAAACTTTATGGGAAATATCTTTGGAACGGTGAGTAGTCTTGTCTTTATTTTATTTATTAAGTTTAAGGGTAATCCCTTGACCTTTGTTTAATTAAAAAGTTACTTGGCCTACTTGCCAGTTTCTTTTCATGAAATAATTGCTTGTTGATGTTATACCTACGTGCAGGCAAAAGTCCCCCGGAATAGTTTTGTTTCTACAGCGCAAATTTTTCAATTATTTAATGAATGCTACTATTCTACTGAATCTATATTAATATTACATACTAATACCTTCTTAATTATAATAATAATCACTCAAGAATAAATTGCTATAATCTACATTTACCAATAAATAATTATAGGCTGAATCATTGACATTTAAATGCTTATTTTATCACAAAAAATTTAGCTTGGGGAGCTTTGATGACCATACCAAATAATAATTTAAAAAATCAAGCATAATTTTTATATTTTAAAATGTTTTGCTAAAAAACAAAAATACTTACTCACAGGTTTATTGAAAGTAGTTACTATGTTAAGTTGTTAAAGTTCACAATCCCTAGTTTATGCATTATGTCACTTCTTTTGTTTAACTAATTCCCTTTGTCATCAGAAACATGCAAACAAAAGGAATTAGGACATTGTACATTTGTCTGTTTAGTTACAAGGTTTTGTTATACTTTTTAAAAGATGAATGAATCATGCAATAATTATTTAAATAGGTAATTACTCGGAGAAATGTTACCATGCAGATTTTAACATTTTATTCATTAGCAATTCTGACAAAAAAGAATGAAATAAATCTTGAATTAAAATTAATATTAATAATTAGTTACTTGTAAATATTTAAATAATTACAATTGATATTGTGGCAATCATATAGGTACCTAACATGACCGTATCATGAAAATAGTAGTAATTGCATAGAATTTCATCAGCATCTTGCCGCATCATGCTATGCAGCCGAACTAGTAACTGACCTTTCAGCCATATTAATTTAAACCTCATTTTATTAAGTATCCTGTTTATGGTCTGGTAAAATGGAATTATTGTCAATTGTTTTGTGCAACACAATGAAAAATAAATCTTATTCAACCAGCTACTGCTTCTTAATCTTTAATAATTAATGTGACAACAATTTTATTATTCCGAACCTTTCAAAGCTTTGAACTACTTAAAGGAGGATAAATAAATGTTTGTGTAGTAACTATTGTTATGAAAGAAAAAGTTTACTTTGAGTTATAGGCTTTTAATAGTATGTCATTTGTTTTATAATACAAGTACTGCAATTTTTTAATAGTTAGTTGCAATGATGTTTGAAACTTGTAAGTCCATTTTAGAATGGCTTTATGTCATGCGCTGTTGAAATTAGTAGTAACTCAGGCTATGCTATGTATCGGGAGGCCCAATTACCCACCACCCCAATCTCCTCAAATTCCTAATCCCCTAAAGGCCGGTTACACACTGGTAATGCTACTGGTAATACCTTTGGTGTTTTGGGTGTCCATGGGTGGAGCCGATTGCTTACCATCAGGTGATCCATCTGCTTGTTTATCGGCTTATTTCATAATTAATCTCAAGAAATTATTCAGTTACTAAATTAAAATTAGGTGCCAGGCATTAATTTCTAGGTGACCAATTATTTGACCGTTTCCAAAAGGTATGATAAATATAATAAATAGGAGCATTATGGTCTTTAAAATAATTTATTATCACAACAGTACATTGTTATTTTATTTGGTGAACATAGGTACCGTTCACATTTGTGTTATTTGTTTTTCTGAATTATTACATAGGTACCTGATTGGTATAATAACTAAACAGTTAACAAATGTAAAAGGTAACGATAACAGAGACTTGAACCAATTTTTTTATTGTATTTAGCTGACTAGTATACACATAACGCAGTATTATGATAATTTTACTCCTATTAGTTAGTCCTAACATCATCATAATATTCATGACCACTCTCAGGAGGAGAATTTTAAGGCGAACTTGGAATTAAACTCGAAGTTTCGTGTTTACCAGTGACAAGTGACGCCGTATTAAAACTACAATTCCTGTTTAATATTCAAAAAATAATGTGTGTATTTGTTTTGACTGACTCATTCAGATGTGAACGAACGTGCGTGAAGTCTTGTACAGCTTAGTTATATTATTATCTACTTTAAAATAACGGTTCCGAAAGAATTTGCCAAGCGTGCGTCCGTATGCAGTCAATCCGTCGGCTGATGCGACATTAAGAGAAAGTTAGTAGAAACTGTGAGTCCTAGATTGACTACGTACGCTGCGTTTACGTCCTCAATTGTCTGTCTTTTTTTTCGTAAATGTCACTCATTCTTCACAATATGTATCGTGTTGGTAGGAAGCTTTTTTTAAGGGGAAAGTCATCCTATGATTTCTCCCACCTTGGGTGAGGCGCGAGGGAGTGTCTGACTCTTACTGACTAAAAACCACCCCGTTCCTACTTACTGCTCATCGAGCCGGAGCCCCGGCAACCCGTTAAGTCCACCGGCTCCGTATCGGCATCAGCCCCACTGGGCTTCCACTGTGGTGGTCTGAAGGCTCTATACACCGATACGCTACGCGGCGTACACTCGGGTCGGGTTCTGGTCAGGCGGCGAGCTACCCTTGCTCGCCATCCCCAGGCCCGTTACGGTGGCCGGACAACATCTCACGATCCCCAACGTCTAGAGTATATCTCGCGACGGCTGGGGTCGCGCGTGAGGAAATTCTTTCCCTCATGCACCCCGCCTCCTTCTTAGCGCGACTGCTTCGCAGAAGGAGGCGACGGCATCCCAGTCCTCCTCGCTCCGTACCATGGTCTGTACGCGTCAGACGCGAAAGGTCGCCGTCCTGCGGTGCTCAGCCCACACAGGGCATCCCGCCATCGTATGCTCCACCGTGTCCATAGTAGGGAATTGGAAGTTTATTAGCATAGGTTCTCTACGGGGTTTTTGAGTACCTACGTAAGTTTAAAAGCCCTATAATAATATCAATACTAAATAATTTATTCTTTTTCTATTTACTTAATGATTAAGTACTAATTGATGTGATTCATCGTTTACTCAAATGCACTTTCGATATTAAGTACACACACCAAAAATAAACAATGGCACCGTATGTACTCAGAGATTCCATCTTGTATCTAGGTTATCAAAACTAATTAGTAACCTTGCTATAAGCGTTAAGTGTTTAATTTCACACCGATGCAGCTTACCATGTCCTTACTTGTCTAGAGTTACTATTACCAAGATAAAATTCCTCGCAAATAATGAACATTGTTCTTCTACTATAAAGTATTCTCCCCGTCGAATCTTTTCTGTACAGATTTAGTTGCCACACAGGAGCGATGTTCGCTAAAAATAATCTATTAAAAACATGGCACTTGATTAAAAATAACAGCTTTCGTTTAACTCGCTAGTTGTACGTTCTAATTACTATTTACAATGTGTAGCCAAATGATCTCCCATTTCCTTCTGTTCTTGTACACAAAACATGTGCACATATTAATAGAACATCATCTGCCAAAAATTAAGACAATATTTATTATTAAAATAACGGAACATCGCGATTTTTTTGTCATTTAGACATCTTAGTTGAACCATGCAGTTATTTACGGAACGTGTAATTTATGTGAGCATTGGTCATACCTAATTAAGTACGAAAATATAACTTGTTTGAGACTACAGCAAAGTATTGGAAGCCCTTGACCTTTAACAAATTATTTTAATGACCCTTTCTTTTTTCTTTAGCTTTAATTAAATAAATCGTCAGGTTTTCTCTGATTTACAAAAGTCGTTCCAGAACTATTTAAAAATCTGTATTTGAATATTATTTAACCTGTGTCAGTCTATTGGGGCATATTAATAACTTCATCAGTATCTCGAAGCAGTGACAGTCTGGTTGTCCTTTTAACAGTTTCATTGATTTTAAATGGACCGCCACATGTTTCCAATAGCTTGACGTGCTGAAACATCGAGTCTCTGTCAGTAATACATATTGAGGTGTTACGAATTTATGAATCGGGATCAAAGCATGAAACCAGCACATGAATCAAAGCATGAACATCGATTACACATCGATAATTTTTCATCTTCAGATCATGAAAAACCAGAAGTGCTAGAAGTCATGATGGACACTAGGAAAGCGATCACTAAAACTTACCAACGACGAAGTAACGACGTAATATTCATATTTATTTAATCCAGAATTCTGGAAGAAAGTAACATCTGTTGTCTTAATAAAAATACAAAATTCATTGAAAGGTCTCATAAATCAACGCAAAGATCGAGTGTACTACACAGACAGTGTCTTATCCAGCAAATTAAGTCGAACAGTATAGATAATTCCACGTGATTTCTTCTTTTGCAATAAAAATAATGTTATCATGTTTGATAAAATACTTCATAATTATCCAAAGATATCAGTGCAAGTAGCTAGTTGACCGAGATTTTCGAGAGTGATTAACACTATAAACATAATATCATTTGTACTTATTTCTAATACTTCATCGGCTATTTGCCTATAAGGTGTACCTACTTGGCGCGATTTATTTTTAGTAAGCATAGCTGCGCTACCAAGATAAAGATTTAATAATATCAATCTTTACCTTCCCGACGTTGAGCTATCTACATTTGAAAGTCATTGGGGGATGTTGGAATTCTACAGATTTTGTCTATTCTGATTTGGTCTCCTCTAATATAAATTCATGAATGTGATCTTCATACGATTTTTTGCACACGTGTTTGAAGACACGTGTTTCTAAGTTTTGTGGTCTCGACGGAACTCATTTTTCCTGTTATGAGAAGTACCATTCAATTCATCTTGAAATTTAACTGGTAGAGTATTCATGTCTCTATATAATAATTAGTTACTAGCAACTAGAAACTTCCCAATTGTTACAGTAAAACTTTAACTCTGAGACTTTTAAGATAAGTACCTTGAATAACAGTTTATAAGCACGCGATGTTCAGTTTTTGTTATTTTTTTGCTAAGACTGGGTTATCGTCCTGTCTCAAGTTGTATGGGCAGTTTTTTGCACCATCGCTCGTTACGTAACTTTACATACTAAACATGTATAATGCCAAGGTACAAGGTCCAATATACTTAACCATGATTTGCTCTACACACAATTGCTTTTATGGAAATAGGATGTGTGATCTGAGAGTCACTTGTGGAGATGCTATTAGAATATCAAATATGTTCGTCATAATATTGCGTTTTTGCGACCTTAGTTAATTTGATTTCTGAACATGTCGCGAATTCCATCGCTTTATGAATATCATTTTGACGCTTTATTAAAACAGCAATGAAAGTGTTATTGGTAGTTATTCTTGATATGATAAATGTATTTACTGTGTATATTACAGATCCTTTAAGTAATGTACATATTTATGTTATGTTAAAGAGTAATCACTGTGTACATTACAGATGTAACAGATCTTATATTGATCATAATTATGTCAAGATAATGTCATGTTAGAGTACCTATTAAATTTTATTTATTTGACATTGTCTTAGCTTCTAGTTGCTAGAGAGTTTATTTGAGAGTACAGAGAGGATACCTATATGTATATAATTATAAATAACTTAAGTAAAAACTAAAATATGTACACTTTAAAAAAATGTTATTTTAAGCTTAAGGCCTCAAAAAAAATTTTCCTCATCGCTATCGTGAGGTAGGGTGCCTTTTGGGACTGGCAGCATTGCCACGTTGAATGGCAAGGGCACGCTGCTAGAGAGTAACTATTAATTTACAAGTTTAAAGTAAAAACTGTTACACATACACACTTCTATGAGTTTTTGGGTTACACCAACCATTTGAGAATAGAAGATAAGACCGTTCGTTAAATTGTTTAACATTTCACGTGTTTATTGACGATGACATACATCAATACGAGGTCACAGGTGGATTATATGGGATCGTGAAATCTATTTTAGTTCGTACTTCTGCTTGTTAAATGTTAAACTCATACATTTTAGACGCTACTTCAATTTTCCTGTAGAAGTAAAGTAGTGTGTATAATTTATTAAAGATCACGTGAACTACTGATTCTGACCTTTGGAAGGTCTCGTGGGACGGTCGGCCCTCCATGAAAGATAATGCGACTATAATGTCACATTCATTATTTGTAAAACGTGCAAAAATGTTGCATTTGAGGCAAACAATTCAGTTATTACCTTTTTGCTATATTTTTTTTCTTTTTGTCCTCTGTTAGGAATTAAATTTTACGAGAATTATGCTGGTAAGGGTGTTCCGTCGTTTTAACTTTGGTTGTGATTAGGAAAGTTGGAATGTGTCCTGTACATCTAGATAATTACTAGTTAGCTTGACTAATTGTAAAAGTAAATACTTACCTACTTAATGGCTATTAGGTTTTTAGCGATAAGGTTGCCTGTGTTCTATGCAACGTAAAGACATTGCATGGTAACTGTTAGAACCTACCTCATCTACTTCAGATAGTTTTTATTAGACTCTGCTTTCAGAGTACACCATATTTTAATTCGTTTCGAAGATTACACCACAAAACAGTAAACGTAATTGCTTGTGTGAGTCAGTTGGTAGGTAAAAAAAATAATAAAAAGCCATAACGCAGTTTAATTAAAAACAATGTATCCAATTACATCACACGACATTGTTTTTTACGCTGTAAACTGTTATCTTAGAAATGATGTGCTTATCCATATTATTGTTTAAATTTCAGTCACAATCAGTACTTTAAAATAAACAGGCTTTGCATTAAGCACGTATTGCTCATGTTCGTTTGTGTTAATTTTGCATTCAACATGTATTTATCGGCGAGGCTAGGTGAAAATTGAAATCGAATTTGGTCGATGTATTCGAAATTTTGTTTTGTCAACCTCAAGGTCTACTTCGGCTTACTTCATCAACGATGCATGTAACGTACACTTCACGGGAACTTATTCAATAGAATGGAATATTTCTTCATAATAATTATGTTATTCATCTCATTTATTTTCCTAGAAACTTTAAGCATTTGTAGAAAGAAAACCAACTTTTTGAACCTCAATTAGAACGGGTTCACCGTCACGTATTTTATAAATAAGTTATTCAGTATGGTTGTTATAATTAGCCAGTAAAACCATATTAATTGTAGTGAGTATAATGTGTAATCGTACAATTTGTTGCTCTCATAGCATGAAGTCAGCGTATGTCAGCCGAGGGCGTTGCACGTGGTGACTGTATGATCGTAATACCACGTGCTGCCATCGTGGTTATTTTTCTTATGAAGCCTAACTTATATTTCATGTTTACTGTTATGTTGCCGAGTTGCGGTGGCCGGCCGGCAATCAAATCATAACAAATGCTATCGCGACGCTGTGCTGATAACTCGGCATGTTGCGATGAGTCCAAACATGGACACTACATTAAATTTGATTGCGATAGAGTATGTGGTTAATCGAACATTACACGATACTTATGAATAGGCAGACCTAAATTCAATGTATTGCACATACTATTAAACAATTAAAATTAACGTGTTTACTTAAATTGCAATTGATGCATAATTTATTCAAGTATAAGTTTATATGGCTTAAATTTAAGCGATCTTTATGATTAAGATTATGTACAATGTCTGCAATTTAATCATTAGATATATTTAAAGAGGTAGACTAGACTTTTAACATGATATTGCTTTTCCAGGCGAGGTGACAAAGGCTGAAAATGACTGTGGAGAAGAGCAAAGGCTTAGAGCCCAAAAAGCCACCAGCGACGAGGAAGGTGGCACCTGATGGCGGGTGGGCATGGATGGTTTGCTTAGGTGTCAGTTTAGTTAACGTAAGTATCTGATTGTATTTTTAACTTACTCAAAAAGTAACTTACGCAAAACCTTCTCAAGTCGTTTATGGGCACGGAAAAAATCATCGTAGGTATGATTTTTTTATAGACAGCTATAATTAAAAGGATTGAGACGGGAATAACCAGACGACGATGTGGATTAATGCTTTTCATATGCCTACTAGTACATCATTCAGTACCTATGTTGATAAATACGACCAAGCATAATTCACGTTTTACGATAGCAGGAAGTCCCACGATAAAAGTTCTCAGTATCGTAATCTAGTCCTGTTGATGATATAATTTACATGTTTACACTTAAATACCTACATTTATATTACACCGACTCCAATAATTAAATTGAGTTTTGCATGTTTGTACAAAGCAGCTAATTTCAAAGGTCAATCACCTCGTTTTGCGTCCTTGTTTAATAATGTTCGTCTGGTACTTGTTTACATTATTTGCTTTGTGTGTACTATTACTGCGGGATTAAACAGATGAACATGTATCTGAAAACTTCAACAGTAATGCTATGGATTTTATTACTAATTATTATTATTTTGGGAAATTAGAAAAAAATGCGATAAGTGATGTCTTAAGGAGTATATTTTTAGATTTATTGCAAGTCTTACATTGCTGTTGCTGTTAGATAGATTAGATAAATATACCGTTTGTTTCTCTGACTTGGCACAAGCTTTTGACACCTGTAGGTGCCGGTAACAAATAATCAATGGCTTCTCTAGACTTACATATCTTTGCTTTGTGGTATAGAGATACCTATCTACAAGTACCTATATACTTAAGTCTTATAAGGTCTAAAGAGTGAAGGAATTAAATAGTTATTTTAGCTGGTATCCACAGGAGTCCCTCAGGGTCGAAGATGTCACCAATGTAGGTCATTTAAAAATCATGATAATCTAAAATGATAAACTAAATTCGGTAGGTATGCTGTAATCAGAACAGAATCAGTGCTAGATAAGCGATTGGTTTAGATACAATTATGTTTATTCATTGTTAATCACAATGATAGTGTATTCTTATCGATTTTTCTAAGAGTTGGGCTTATGTAGGGCATCTTGTTTCATTAACATATATTATTAACAAAATAAACCTAATACTGGTTTCTGTAAAAGCAATACTTACATAAATCACACAGAAACGGATTATTTAATTCCTTCCGACTAGTCTAGGTGATTTCATTCCGTTCAATAGCAGAATAGCCATATTGTATTATAGTCTATTGTTAGTCTAAACTCTTAAGAATACGATTTTATTAATGTTGCATATTCTTCAAAAGTGTATACAAACAAACAGGCAAAAACCCAATGAAACGGAATTATCAGTACTAACCTACATTAAATTGACCTTTACTGTGCTTCAGTAGGATTATACAAAACTATTTTTCCCTGTAATTTTATTAGACCCATTTTGGTAGAGGGCAAACTCATGGTCAAAGGTTTTTAAATAATTATTTCTTAAATTATATAATTAATATTTCAAAATTTATTGCTACAGATATATTTGTCAAGTCAAACTTATCACATCTCAATACCAAATCACTAACGATGGTTTTTCACAGTGTTACCATGTATTGAAGGGCAGTGCAGTGCCTACGTGACGCGGCCACAAAGTCTCGGTTCTCGACACAATAATTATGATTGCCTAACTAGTCACATGCTCTCCTAACGCTGACACAATTACTACTTCAACTGATTGTATTGAACTCTGGAAAGAGATTCCTATCTTTTGTGTGCTTTGTTTTTTAAATCTATCAATGTTTACAAATGAATGTAGTTTAAAGGAAAGTTTCGAAATAAATACTTGATTTCGATACTACACATCGGTTTTTACAATTCTTTTGATAATTCTCGCGTCGCGTACGCACGTTGAGTGGCCAAGCCTTTTACGACTGTTTTATTGCATCCATATGATTCTTTCAGTTCTACTTACTCTTGCGCACCTCTTAAAGCAGTCCATGTTATTATTTTGAATGCATAATTGTATTTGATTCTTTAGTGAGAAGGTACGTTCTTTTATTTTTGCTACATTAAGATTTCATCACAATGTAAACAAGAAACTGGTTTGTATGGAAATAAAAATATTCGTCCTTGCATTGATGAAAGGCTAGTCCATTTTATTTAACATGGTTCCTGATTTGTTTCAATATTTATTTGATAGTCTCCATTCCGTTAATATACATTGATAAGCTTAAAATAAACAAACCGTAAGGGTCTGCTATCTTAATGACCTTGAAACACATTTAAGTTGGTATTTACGAAGAGCTTTATTATGGTGGTCCGATTAAACCTATTAAAATTATATTTACTGGTAAAACAACTTCTATTTGAAAAATTGATACAATTTATGCAATTGCATCATTGCTTTAATTCTAGTGTTACGTTATAGTATGATAAAGACGAATCCATAATTTAAAATATTATACAAATTATTTACAAATCCAATATAAAAAATACCGGTTCCATTAGAACAGTCGCATTGATTCGCACATATTTATTTATTACATACCTAGCTGGTTTTTAATTTTTGTCATTTGGAACGTGATTTTTGATTTACATAGAAATCGATGTAGACGTAGTAGAAATATGAGAATTATTAAGATTATTGACAGCCTCGTGTGTGGAGTGTGGGCACCTTGTAGGTATCAAATGTTTCAGAGTTTGGTGATATATCTCCATTTTTTAAGGGGGGTCTTCAAATGACTGTTCCCGCCTGGGTAAGGCGGGAGGGATTGTCAGACTCTTACTGACTAAAAACCACCCCGTTCCTTCTCCTGCACTTCAAGCCGGAGGCCCGGTAACCTGTTAGGTTCTCCGCGACTGATATATCTCTATAAATCTCCATTCAAGTGTGAACGTGATCTTTCCGGTTTTCAGGTTATCATAAACAATTATAGCCATCCCATACGATGAGTAAACTCGAAAGTCTCACAATAGTTCTAACAAAGGATGTCGTGTGATATGAGCTGAGCTGACACCACAGAAATATTAATTAATATATCTGTGGCTGACACATTTACTATCGATACACAGATAGTAAAATATAATGATATTCCCAATCTCTCAGCTCTACATGACCTAGTCTTGAAAAGGAAATGTGTATTGATTTTCAACGTGACGATGCACTGCTAAAGGCTTGCAAACTTACACATGAAAATAGAATATCGCAGATCATGTAATCTTTAATACATTCCGCCCATGGATTTCTGCGTAAGCCGAGCAGACGAAAGCAGATAAGGCTTCTTCCATTTCTAATGTTTCTAAATATTTGATTTCAGTTTTCAACGCGTTCTCTTGAGCCGTCGTTTGGTTTGCTGTTCAAAGACTTATTGGATGATCTCGGGGTCCACACCACGGGTGCTTCAGTGATTGCCAGTACTCTAGATTCCGTGGTCAACTTCTCTGGCTTCTTTGTGGGGCCTGTGATAAAAACATTTTCGTACCGAAAAGTGTGCTTCGTAGGCTCCACAATATGTGCCCTTGGCTTACTGTTCACGGCACCCGCTGCCAGCATGGGGCACATTATCACTACTTACAGTATTTTAGGAGGTAAGTTTGTCACCAAAATTATTTAATTTTATGCTGTGCGAATTTGCTCTTATGTAACTAAAGAATCATGTGAAATGCTTCATCGATTTTTAGATATATTGACTGTCGAAATGTAACCTTGTTGACCACTTTAAGTTGATTTATACTCGAACGTGTTATGTAAATGCTTATTCCGTGTGCATCCGTTTTACTATCTAGTGACATTATTTCTTATGCTTTAGCTTCCTAAGGAAAAGTTGACTAATAATTTAAGTACAAATACGTATAAATAATATTGCAGCATTGCCTTTTAAGCAAATTGCTACTTGACTTATAAGCAGTATCGTTTTACTTCCGCACTTTAATAAATATAATTCTTTTGATAGGGTATATAAGAGACATTTGCCTCGTCCGACAGAGCTATATTCCATATTATAATAACCTCCTTAAGCAGTTTGAAGGTTTCTAGGAGGTTTTCCTTTATTATTTCACTAAAGTCATATGTCTTGTATGCGTTAAACTATATAATTAACCTCGTAACATAATTCTTAATGCGCATAATATCTAGACATATTTGTAAACGTTTTACTTTTATCGATACTCTCGTTAGCATTTATACATTATTGATGTGTTACGTGACTATAACCTTATGCTCCGAAGATTATGTGGCCAAAAACTTCAATATTATTGATTGTTAAGCTATCTTTACGTACGATGACGACCTGGCTTGAATGTTAGTTAAACTATCTGCGTAATAAAATTAACTGATGTTATGTTTACTAGGTATATTTGTCATTTCCCCTTGCACCCATTACAAAAATTAGACAAGACCTTGAAACAATAAATAAACGAACATAGTTTTCAAGAGAAAATTCGCGTTATAATTGAGTTAAGATGGTACCTACGTCAGTGAAAGAAACACGGCCGAGATCTTATTTACAGCTAAAGTAACTACATAAGCATGTTACGTAGTTTGTTTCAAAAGAAAATCTTGCTACCTACGCCAATTACTAGGGAAAATACAATTGTTATTGCGCAAGGGTGAAGGTGAAGCCCTCTACATTCAGAATAATTACTTTAATTATACTGATCAATATTCAAACGTGAATAAGATTTCGATTTTGGCAGGTTTCACGGTTCTTGTCATTGCTGGGTGGGTGATTTACTCTACCAAGGGTAACGATCATGTAGACATATTTTATTTAAAATAGAAAATTATAAAGTGCTTCAATAGACTATTCATATTTTGCAAAGGACATGTATTTATATTAAGCTGTAGTTCAGTAGGTACGCAAAGGAAATAATGACAGGTTCTTCTATAGAAATTATCCTTATAACTTCTTAATGCCCCAATACTGAAAGGCTTATCAATATTAATTTGTACTTAAATATCGTGCCATCTCTGTCATTTAACTAAGAATATGTAGTGACAACTATACTTAAGCGCGACTTAAAATTAAGGATCGTTTGAGTATTTGGACATAGGTATATCGTATAGTTGATCGGTAATTTATTTGACAAGTCTCAAGAGTAAAACAATTTGCAGAATTAATTTACCTTTTTTTATGAGTCGTAACGTAAATGGCCCGTTAACGCTTTTCATTACTTAATTCCGTCTGTTACGTCATCAGCGATTCATGTAGTTTACACAGCAGCTACTAATGAACGTCATTATTATTTCATGTAATTAATATTTCCTTTCTCAATGACAGGAACTGTATTTAGCTTTTGTTAATATTCTACGTAATTGGCCAATTAGATGACTAATGAATAAATATTTTGTTTTCTCTCGGTTTTTACTAGACAGATACTTGTTACTTTTTCTTCAAGTCAGGATTCAAGAATCATGGTATTGTTTTCGTACCCACGTGAGAATTTCGATTTTTATTTATGGGATAAGCCTGTAACCGAGCCGATGGATCACCCGATGGTAAGCAATCGGCGTCGCCGTCGCCCATAGACACCCGAAACACCAGGAGCGTTACAAGCGCGTTACCGGCCTTTTGGGAATTGGAAATTTGAGTATTGTGGGGGAGTCTGGGGAGGGGTGGGGGGTAATTAGGCCTCCGGTAACCTCACTCACACGACGAAACACAACGCAAGTGTTGCTTCACGTCGGTTTTCTGTGAGGCCGTGGTATCACTCCGGTCGCGCTGGCCCATTCGTACAAGCATGGCTCTCCCACACTTAAATTTCGGTGTATTTATGTTTCTTTCTTTCTTTGTCATTAAGTTACTGACAACTTCTTGGCTATGGCGTATATATATATTTTTTATAAATGACTTATATATAAGGATAGAAAAGTAAAAGACTTTAAGCAATGACCGGAGCATATACCTCTATTTACACATTGCAAACAGGGTGACTCGACTGCAATTAAATATTTGTGTCCGTCTCTTGGCATATCTCGTTGTTATCTTCTTAGTCGTAACATTTTCTACGCAGGTATGTCATACTTAAAGTAAATAGTGCCTACAGTCGAATTTATTCAGAAGTTTTTTCTGCATAAAGATTCAATGCAATCAGTGTTTCTCTGAAATAAGTTTCCCCTTGGCTACCAAAAGAATATATTTTGACTTTCCTTATTGGTTTTATTGCGCGAGGAAGATATTACCCTACTGCATAAAGAGACAATACAGCGAATTATTCGTTTGGTTAGTTTAAAATCCGTCTATAGAAAAATCTATTTTAGAGAACGCAACATCGATTTTAACAAGCGCCGTTGTTCATGGCTTCAATCTATACCTTTCATCATTTACAAAAGAGACACATAAATCATACAACGATGATGTATTTCCCAGATATTACACGTATTATGTATTCATAGTATATATCCTGCGATGCAATTAATTATACTCAAGGTAGCCACGCTGCCGGGTTGATGGCGTGAAACTGATTTCACGCATACACAGAAGTCTCGATTTCTGATGTCACGTCACTTACGTACGTACTTCAAGTGCTTGTCTGTGACGTCACTGCCATTGCGTCATTCGATCCCGAATCATGGCGAGCGACCTGAATATTGAGGATTAATCTAAAACAATTTATGTTGTTACACATTATCGTTAAATGTGTACAATATTCAACATACATTACTGTCTCATAATTGCTGAGATTTTAACTCTAAAGACCTGTCGTGCCTATTTTATACCAGTGTCCTTTTAATTAGTTTGCATTCATACCTAAATCAATATAAGACTTGAACCTAGAATAGGTCAAAGCTTTATGTTTTAAAAAACGAAGTTCGTTAACATTATCACTTCTTTTTTGAGTAGGGAGAATATCCAATGACTTCTCCCGCCTTGAGTTAGGCGAGAGGGAGTGTCAGACTCTTACTGAATAAAAACCACCCCGTTCCTTTCCTGCTCATCGAGCCGCAGCCCCGGCAACCAGTTAGACCTTCCGCGGCTCCTTATCGGGCATCAGCCCTACTGGGCCCCATCTGTGACATTTATGACTATAGTTTAGTATTTAAAACATCTGTTGCTATACTGTTACTACGTGTAATGACACAGACGTGCAGTTAAGAGGAAATTTCATATCTTTTCTGACTCACAGTTGTTTATGGATTCACACTTTGTCCTCATAAACTGAGGCCCTTCATATACCTAGGTACCTAGCATGGCTGGAGATCCCAGCCATGCTATGAAGTTTATAATTAGCAACGTAGTTATGACTACATACACGCTAATTTTTGATGTAAATGAAGAGATTTATTAGTATACCAATTGCTTAAAATACTTCCAATACTGATACTTAAGCTGTTCATTATTGTACTTAGTATAACGATGTGTATAATTTATCTACAATGCGGAAAATCTTGACACGCCGGTAAAGTTTTGGCTGTATCCACGCCCAGCAGTTGTAATTGCGTCCAATAGATAAACTAAATAGGTATTTTAGAACAAAAGACCACTACCTACTCTTTGGAAATGGTATTTTAATTTGACTAAATTAATGCTGTGAAAATTTTCGAATACGTTGGTGATACTAATTACAGATTATGAGCATAAGATCAAACTACAATAAATTCAATGGTGCCCGTATTGACCGAATAAAACCCTCTCAAATAAAGATCCTTCAACAAATACGACATTGCCATTCAAATAAGGTCATAGGTAGTATTTTTCCTCTTAGGAGTTATATATGTTTTGGTTAGACATAGGTAGGTAAATGTAATAAAAACAGGTACTTAGTCACCACAATGCAACAACATGATGGTGATTAATGACTGAAATTCAATATAACTGCCTCGTTGGACAAGTGGTCGCAAGTGCGACTACCGGGCAAAGGGGTCTCGGGTTCAATTCCCGGGTCGGGCATAGTATTTTTTTTTTATATTCTCAGTAGTAGCACGGAGTCTGGAATTGTGCCCGGTATATGGCAATAGGCCCACCCCTTATTACATGGGATTCATAACATAAATAGTAAAAAGTGGGTGTTAGATTGTACCGTGGCATTAAGTGCCGTAAAGTGCACCTCTATGACTATCTCTTCGGGGATAAAACGCTTTAATTTATGTTCTGTTCAATATAAACCGTACCTTTCTGTCATTTGAGTTCATAATATTATTATTGATTTATTTATTTGATGCTGTTGAAGACTTGCACCTAGATATAATACTTACCTAAGGTTTTTCTGCATTGCACCTCTACTTAGCGTGATAATAACTTCATTGAACTGTTAACACGAAATGTAAATCTGTAGGTTTTTTATCTATACCTACTTAAACATTTCAAATACTTGATTAAGATTTATTAACAGATTCATTATGTTGAATTTATAACATTGAAATAAATGTTTTTGATTTTATTTTATTATATCGAACGAGTACAATAATAATAAAACAGTACTATTACCTTTTATTTTTTCTAATACAGGAAATGGATAGGAAACATAGATTGTATTTTATACTTACGTATAGTAAAATAACTGACTGCCTCGTTGACCAAGTGGTCGCACGTGCGACTGCCGGGCAAGGGATCTCGGGTTCGATTCCCGGGTCGGGCAAAGTTGTACTTGGTTTTAAAAAAAAGCTCAATAGAGACTCATACATAACATAAATAGTGAAAAGTGGGTGTTACGTACAGTGGCATAATGTGCACCTCTGCCTACCCCTACGGGGATAAAAGGCGTGATGTTATGTTTTATTTCTGGAACTTCAAATTTGTGTGACTACAAATGATAATTTTATGTTACTTATTATATTAATCTTGATAAACGTCTTTCCAGGTTTCGGAGTGGGTCTCGCGTCGTCCTCATCGTTCGTGTCGCTCAACCATTACTTCTCTAAGAAGCGAGGTCAAGCAGTCGGGCTTTCGATGGCTGGTACTGGCTTCGGGTTGATGGTGATGCCACAACTAGTCAAACTCCTACTAGGAGAGTATGGGTTCCGTTGGACGGTCGTCATATTGGGTGCCTTGGCCTTCCATGCTGTGCTTGGCTCCTGTCTACTGCAACCTGTTAAAAGACATCTCATTGATGAACCAGTGGATTGTGAATTGCAAACAGTGAAGGTTAGTATGATTTTACTGTAGTACAAACCATCTTATGAGTCTTTTTTACTCTCGGGTTACAATATATACTTAGCCTTTTGGAGGATAAAGCTAATCTAGTTTACTTTGGAAGATGTGGCTCATATTAATTACTATTCTCTCGCTCATTTCAGGAAATGGAGTGTATACTAGAGAGTGAAGAAGAAAATGATGACAAATTCGAAATAAATCCACTTGTCTCACCTCAAATACCAAAGATAATGAAGCAGAGATCACACACCAACATGAACCATCCTTCAGTGCGGACGATAGGCTTACCGAGGGCCAAGACTTGTGACAAGCCCTTACAGGAATTTGAAAAGTTCGAAATAAATAATAAGCTGTACCCAGGGTTGACAACGGCTGCGTCTGTGGCCGCCATGCCGCGAGTGACATCTAGCGGTAGTATGAGTGAAGCTGCGCGAAAGAGAAAAGTGTCCGTCATTTCTAATATCTCCAACATGGACTTCACTGGCAGTTACTTGCAGTTGTATCTTGATGTGAGTGTCTATTATTTCGTTAATAAAGTCCTGATCTTAGCCACTTGAATCTATAATGTTATTTAAAGTAGTACACAACTAATATTCAAAATATTATGCTTTCAGACAGTACAAGACGATGACGCCATTCAAATGAAGCCAATAAAGAAAGCGGAACCCGAGGAAAAGAAGAAGGGTTTCTTTAGAAGATTTATAGCTCTTATGGACTTAGATTTACTTAAAGACTGGTCATTTTTGAACCTTTTACTAGGGCTCTCGCTGTTTTGGAGCGGAGAGCTACAATTTAGGATGTTGACTCCATTCTTTATAAGAAGTTTGGGCTACAATATGAATGACACGGCGTTTTGCCTCTCCATGACTGCCATTACTGATATTTTGGTGCGGTTGATCCTACCGCCTATATTTGACAGAACGACCATTTCCAAGAAAATGATATTCTTTATATCTTCATTCTTCTTAGCTGCGACGAGATCTGGTGAGTGAAGTACCTACTTAAATCTTATTTTTCTTAGACTGTGTTTACTTAGCGCTAGGCCGATCACCTACTATTCGATCTTCATTATGTATACGCAAATCTAAAATAGTGTTGTGAAGTGCTTTCATTCATGTACAGTTAAACTAGGAAGTTTAGATAATTTTAATAAAGTCATGCGTGCAGAACAACAACATCACACATCAACAGCCTACGTCACATTGGTACTTACCGTTGGTACGTTTCAAATCCGGACCCTCATGCATGAGAACCGGGTTTAACCTCCGGGCCACCACGACATCAGCAACAAATCTAAACAATGATTGAATGACTTATCTAATAGTTTCAAGGAACACCAACAACATCAATACTTAGTAAAGTTTTTCAAATTTTACGACTTCACAATCGCGTGTTAGAGTATGTTATTGAATTCGTTCGTTTTGTTTAGTTAACACATGCTTACTTATACAAAGAACGTTACATCATCGATAAACCTACTTACAGTTTATGAGCGTCGGTCATAATCATAAGAATGTATTATATGTAGCTATGAATACATCACTAAGGTTTTGCAGGCTATACAGATCCAACAAGCTACCAATAGCCTGCAAAACCTGAAAATCTCCTAATGGAGATAATCAGTTCCCTACAGAATTATAAAGTCAAATTATATATTTCAATTAAGTAGACCAGGAAGGCACTTTGAACGTCAACAAAAAATTTAAAAGTGAAGCTATTTGCTCATTCCAACGAGTAGATATCGTATGGAGAAGAACGAGCAAGATGTCTGACTGAGAGAGATGTCTAACAAACTATTGTTTGGATTTGCTCTTAAAATCACCTCAGTAACATGGAATTTCTGATCAGTATACGGAAACAATAGAGCTTATAGTTTAAACATGTTACCAACATAATACCTCAAGAATGACTGTATTAAGTACCTATAGTTAGTGTATTATTAAACATGTTGAAAATATATCCCTATTCACTCACACACATTACTGTCGTTCACCACATTCGCTTTCTTCACCAAGAGCCTATAAGTGACCACTGCTGACCAAAGGCCTTTTCTCACACGGAGAAGGTTTGAACTATCACCGCGCTTGCTCAATGCGGGTTGGTGATGTCAAACTTTTTATTAGAAAGTATAAGTCCAGATTTCCTCACGATGTTTTCCTTCAGTACGCCGTTTGTCAGTGGTGTCTAAATAATCTTAGGAATTCGCTTAACCAGTTATAAACATAATATAGATCCGTAACTCATCTATCACATTTACATTTCCAGTGTTAGCAGAGCAAACAGAATGGGTGCCTCTGATGATTTGGCTGTCCATTTGCGGGTTCTTCCGAGGCATGTGTCTGAGTAACTTCACTCTGACCATATCTGAGTACTGTCCTCTTGAGAAGCTCCCAGCTGCGTTCGGTCTGCACATGGTCAGCAAAGGAGTATTCGTTGTTGCTATTGGACCTTTGATCGGTGAGTTGTTTTTTAGTACTAATTTACGATACAAAAATAATTAAACATTCATGTGTTCAGAGGCCTTAGTAAGTTTGATTTACGTTTAAAGTATTTGTAACGCGTTCGGCACTGTGATTGGCTGGCGCCAATGAAGCAACCAATCAGAGCGCCGAACGCCATGTCGTATTAGTGTCTCCTTTTAGAGACGCCTTCTGAGTGCATGCCTATTTAGAGACACCTTTTGACTAAATGCTAAGAGATAACTCGAAGGTAAATCCTTCACTAGCGTCTGCACCGGTCAGTGTTGCCCTCAGTGATATAACGGGTTAGCGCAGAAAGTACCTTTTTCCTTAGAACATTGATAAGATTGCCCTGACCAGAGCGTATCATTTACTAAACTTTTCGATCAAAATTCTTCTAATATTGTGCCTTTTTTTCAGGATACGTGAGAGATTACACCGGTAGCTTTGCAACGTGTATTCACGTGCAGAATGCTCTCATAATGTCGTGTGTACTTGTATGGGGCGTGGAGTACGCGCTCGCCTTCACCCGCCGCAGGAAAGTCGTGCAAATATAGTGACCACAACGTTCCACTGAGGAACTAAAGCTCATCGTATTACTGTTATATCGATTATCCAATATCTAGACACGTTATAATCTTGTCTACTTATTAATGCTTTTATAAGTACATTTTAATATCGCATCTCATGTTAACGAGCGAGAAACAGTGCAGTTAAAAATCTTTTCAATTTTCTCAACATATTTTCTCCGTGTACATAAAAATTAATATTTTAATCGAGTTTTTATAATGGGTCAGTCCATATCGTAGCCATATCAAAAGATTTTACTCTAAATGGAGTTTATTGGCTGCACTGTTTCTATAAATAAAGATATTTATGTTGAACGGTATGTATATTCGTGCATACTTCGCGTGACACTCATCTAGAATTTATTACTAATAGTGTGAAACTCAGACTTGAGCTTTCCATACAAAAATGCGCATGTTTAATCAAAGAATTAAATGATATTATTTTTGAAATTTTCTCTAAAATAGCTCTCTAGAGCCGAAACTGAATTGGCCATGACTATCATCATTCATTTTGTCACAATAATCTAACAAGTTATTCATGAGCATTGGTATTGAATTAAGGATATTAAAGGTAAATAATAAACTTCCATGTTTGTGTCAAAGCTTAGTTGTTAACACTAGAACCAGTGAATTTTGGAAAGAAATAAAGTGGAACATCTATTTCATAGTTACTTAGAATGTAACTTTTAGACATTGATTTTAACTATTAATATTTTTAGACGGCTGTTTGTACTACGGAAAGTTTTGTAGGTGTGTATTTTTAGATGATATTAATTTATACACATAAATTAGTTGTAGGAAATCTTAATGACAAGTTTTATCAAAGTAGATGCGACCACGAAAACTCTTAAGTGACGAATGTAGAATGAATATTCTGGATTGGGCTGCATTTCTTATAGTTTTAATTCTCTTAGCGATTTCTTTTAATCACGATTTAGTTCCAATTTTGTATTAAGTAGACGTCAAACTTCAATACTTACTACAAAAATACGGAATTTGCCTTAAAGTCAAAGTCCACATTTGACTTACAAACTGCAATGTATAAAATAAACGAATTATGTCATCTTCAATGACGTCAACGTAAATTGCAACGTTAAGAAATTCAACATTCTGCTGCAATCGACAAAATATATTATTCTTGCCAAGTTTAATAAATTTGGCATTATACAATACGTGCGTGCTTCGCTTGTATAACATGTGAACGAAGCATTTCTTTTAATGCAGTTCTTATATCTTCCGTACTTATTAGTCTGTAACATAAAGTACTTACATAAAGGGACTCACGATCATTATAAACGGGTCAATGATATACATAGCAGATATTTTATAATCAATATACTCTCTTCCAATGTTTCGTCTTCCAAGGACTGTATCTAATAAGATAATCTCCTGCGATGTGCTTTCGATGTGTGATTTAATTGACCAAATATATCGTTTTTATAATAACTATCGTGAGACATATTACATTAACTAACAATCGTGGGTTACTCACGTGAACGTACTGAGAAAAGCTCTACTAGAGTAGGCTGCGCGACACCACCGCGACCGCACACGCTGATCATGAGGAAGAACCCCTTTGTGGTTCGAAACTAGTACAGCTTTTCTCAGTATATTCACGTGAGTAACCTGTGAATTTAAGTTAATTCAAATATATCGTGTATGTACTTACTTATGTTGGTTAAACGTAGTACTTACATTATAATAAGAAATCATCAACAGTTATTGTTTGTACTTACTTATAAAATCTCTTTAAAAAATATAAGACCGCTCATTAATCGTCTGTTGTTTTTAACATAATAAAATAATTGCAATCAATTTTTGAAACTTATGTGCCAATTGTACATACTTTATATGAAGTGATATATAATCTGTCTATTTAATCATGACGACGAATGTTTGAGGGAGGAACTAACAACGTTAAAACTATGGCAACACTCAATGAAAGTGCAATGAATGTCATCAGCCGTAATCGAGATTGTTATTACGAATTGGTTCTTGTTAAAAAGTTACTAGAAGTAAATAAAACCTAGAAGAAGTTTATTAAACACGCAAAAGAACAACTCGGAGTAGAGCTCGACTGATTGCATTTCGAGTATAAAGTTATTTTCAATAGAATAAGTTTTCCTTCGAACAGTGGCTATGAGAGGTAGGAATCGTATTACTGTTTATATAACGCACCCACGACACAGGAGAAAATACTAGTGTGGGGCAACGTTTTAAAAAAAAATATTATCTGACAGAAGGGAAAACCTACAAAATAAACGATTTTAAGTCTAAAATAAGATTGTTCCCATTGCACATTTATTTATAGATTATATTTGAATGGTATTAGGTTGGTACTTACGCTGTAGGGGTTGCTATATGAACGACCGGTGGCGCCCTCATAGATTTTCATGATTAAATAGACAAACTGTAGGATAGAAAGATTTTAGAAAAACGAAACTTTACAATTATCAAATCAAATAATCATGTACTTATAATAATATTTTAGACGTAGTTATGTAAAACAAGAACGTACATTAAATAAATACTATGCATTTTATTAATGTTAAATGAAATATGTGCACAGAACCAATGTAACTGTTTTTAAGTTGGTTTATTGACCGTTTAAAATAATGCATAAATATTCATTAAAATAGAATGTTTATCATTTTATAATTGCATTGAATATATTCAAATACAGTTGTTACAATCTGGTCACAATTTCCATAGAGGCAACTATTCATATTTTTATGTACAAAAAACTTGAAATTTTGTAGAAAAAACATAACTTGAGATAATATTTGTTTTGTAGATGACATTTAAATTATGCCATAATGTTATGAAACAGACTGCTATGGAAATTAGTTTGGAGTCACATGTTCGTGTTCGGTATATTTTGAGAGAGATGCAAGATTCTGCATTATGCTAATACGACAAACTTCATAAAAATAATAGCAAAAAAACTTCAATCATAGAATACCGACTTATGCGCTAAAGGCGTTGTTAGAATGTACCATGCGTAAATAGCAAAAAAATCATATTTCATTAATTATCCCCAACTCAAGATGAAAGACTTACAATAATTATTGTGTCTGCATGAATAATTGAATATTCCATATAATTTTTATGACAATAATTTTGTTGAGTTTGGTATTTAATCGTATTGTTGTTGATAGCTTTGTTTAAATCAGTTGAATCTGTTATGAAATAACTGATGCCTGCTTGTTACAGTACCATATTCTAAGGGTTCATACAAATAATTTGAAATAACTGAAACCTAGTGTCTTAACAACTAACACGTACATATTTTAGTTTTAAGTTTTCTAGAAGTAGAGAGTACAATATCATGATTTAATTTTTTAATTTATTTTCTGTGGTATCGTGACAAGCAGACATTTTATACTTTTATGGATGGTGCGAGATTTAGCCTGTATGTTATATTATACTTAATCTATTTTATTAACCATGTAAAATTTATAGTGAACATTTTATATAAAACAATGAAAAAAGACAATGGATTCAAGTAAAAGGTGGTTACCGAGAGACGTTGTTTCATTTCATTTCAACAATTTTTTTAAAACGCAAGTTTTACTTTTTTGTGTTTTATAGTAGGCGTAGGCCATTAGGCATAGTTTTTTTTATAAATGTAACAAATTTTTATAACTACATACTAATAATACAAACCTGATTTGTAACATACTACATGCATACTACGTTAGTTATATGTCATATACACCGAATCTAGTTTCTATATTATTAATGACGGTTATAAAATAGCCTAGCGCTAATTAACAACTACAATAAAAAATTGAATAGCTGAGGCGCGATCAAAGTTTCACAATATTTTAACACACGATCATGTTTTTCTTTAAGTTATAAAAAAAACAATCTTGAACAGATTATGTCATAAAACCATTGAGTTAATTTCAATGCACAAAACATTGTTTTTTAAATTATTTTGAATTAGTATAAATTACAATAGTGTATGTGGTTTTTCTGTTTGTAAACACACCTACGACACGAGAACACCAAAGCGTGTGCGTTACCCAGGCAAAATGTTTCGCTTTAGAGAGATGAGACTTAAACAAATAATTAGTGTATCATGAGGAGCAATTTGTTTACTAATAGCAAAATTTGTTTGAATTGTAGTTTTTAAGTTATTTGAGAAAAACAAATTTTGCTGGAGTAACGTTTGAAACGTTACCCAGGCAAAATAGTCTTTCAAAAATTAGTTTCAGCACGGAACCAAATACATGAATAGATAGCTTTTGTTGCGTAGTAAATGTTTATAAATAGCAAAATTTGTGTGTGGTATAGTTCTTTAGTTATTTAAGATTTTGCTGCGGTAACGTTTTGGGATTTCCCAGATCTCGAAAACGGCTCAACGCAGAAGTTTGAAAAAAATACCAATAAAAGACCTCAATTTGTTTAAATTTGTTTAATCATTAGTTTTTGATTTGGTTGACGTAAACCAATGTAATTAAATGGTTTCAAAAATCAGAAGAAACGGGTTTGCAAGTAAACCAATACACTTATAACCAAATAAACAGCTGTAAAAAATACCCGTGGTTCGACGCTTGTTTACATCAGAAATATTAGATTTCATACTTTACACATTAAGAAGATAAAAACAAATTTGATTTATTTTAGACTGGTCGTACTTTAGCGATCGAATACGCAGTTCCCATAACATTAAGAAACATGGCATACTTTAAACAAATTAAAATGATTCATGAAAATTCCTTCCTGTTAATTTCAGCCTTGAATTACGGCTCTAATGAAAGTTATCTCAAAAACAAGAATATGTCAGCAATTCTCTAATAAGCCGACCAAATTGAAAAGGTCACGTAAAAGCGACTGCACCGTACGTACGGGTAATCTTCGCAAATTAGCAGCTTGGTAACCGATGTTTTGTACAGTTAAGCAGAAAAACGTTATTCGTGAAGCCGATTTTTTAATATTTTTTAAGTGCAGTACCATATTACACAATTTTTACTAGTTAATGCCAATTAAAATGCCATACTGTGAGTCGAGGTGAAATGGAGTCCACCTATCAACCTACGTTATTAGTACCTCCTAAGGAAAATTGTACAAACTATTAATGTATCCAAATATTAAAATTAAGTAAGTAGGTTATAACTTATCTGTGATTTTTCTCTAAAAATGTTGATGCTAAGGCAAAGCAATACATATAATTTGTATGAGACTGATTTTTTAAATAAAAATAATGAATCTTAACCATTTTATTATTTTAACTAACCTGACCAGAAAACTTTTGTATTCAACTGTACTAACAAAACATCTATATTATCCTGTTCATTTCAGATGGTTGCGCTTATGTATGGTGCGGTCGCTTTTATGTGACCTTTTCAATTTGGTCGGCTCATTAGAGAATTGCTGACATAATCTTGTTTTTGAGATAACTTTCATTAGAGCCGTAATTCAAAGCTGCAATTAACAGGAAGGAATTTTCAGGAATCATTTTAATTTGTTTAAAGTATGCCATGTTTCTTAATGTTATGGGAACTGCGTATTTGATCGCTAAAGTACGACCAGTCTAAAATAAATCAAATTTGTTTTTATCTTCTTAACGTGTAAAGTATGAAATCTAAAATGTCTGCTGTAAACAAGCGTCGAACCACGGGTATTTTTTACAGCTGTTTATTTGGTTATAAGTGTATTGGTTTACTTGCAAACCCGTTTCTTCTGATTTTTGAAACCATTTAATTACATTGGTTTACGTCAACCAAATCAAAAACTAATGATTAAACAAATTTAAACAAATTAAGGTCTTTTATTGGTATTTTTTTCAAACTTCTGCGTTGAGCCGTTTTCGAGATCTGGGAAATCCCAAAACGTTACCGCAGCAAAATCTTAAATAACTAAAGAACTATACCACACACAAATTTTGCTATTTATAAACATTTACTACGCAACAAAAGCTATCTATTCATGTATTTGGTTCCGTGCTGAAACTAATTTTTGAAAGACTATTTTGCCTGGGTAACGTTTCAAACGTTACTCCAGCAAAATTTGTTTTTCTTAAATAACTTAAAAACTACAATTCAAACAAATTTTGCTATTAGTAAACAAATTGCTCCTCATGATACACTAATTATTTGTTTAAGTCTCATCTCTCTAAAGCAAAATATTTTGCCTGGGTAACGCACACCACCAAAGCGTGGACTTGGAGATACATAAAAAAAATGGACATGTAAACTTGATAGGTATGTATTTATGCTTAGTTTTTTTTTCTATGGGATAAGACATGGCAGACGGAACACCTGATGGTAAGCAATTGGCGCCGCCCATGAAAACCTGAAATACCAGAGGCGTTACAAGTACGTTCCCGGCTTTTTGGGAACTTGGAATTTAAGGATTGTGAGGGATTTGGGGATTGGAGAGAATGGGGAGGGGGGTAGGTAATTGGGCATCCGGTAACCTCATTCACACGACGACAAAACACAAGCGTTGTTTTATGTCGGTTTTCTGTGAGGCCGTGATATCGCTCCCGTCCAGCCGGCC